AAATCAGTCACTACAACTGTAACAATGCAATGTCATAACAACTAAAAGCAAAACTATGCAAGGCTACCACTTTTTAGGGCATGTAACTGCTGTGGTGATCGCAAAGCAATATATACCTATATACATATATTTATGTATATGCATGCCCTTTTGAAATTTCATTGTGCAATACGTCCTGTATACGTATATGGCATATTTGACAATTCAGTCCACTTTGACTTTGATATATATTTATATACCTGTATCGTCAGTTCAACATGAATTCATGTACTGTTAGAAACCTACACTTACGTATGCAAACACACGTGCATATATATGTATATATATTTTTGGGTGGAGTTGGGGGAGGGGGGGGCGCTGTGTGGAAACGAAGTGAACCCTTACTTGTGGCTACCCCCTCAGCATGCTGCAGGAGGATGGCAGCTTGACAGTTTGGTGTCAGCTTCTTATGCATGACCCAGCTGAGATGAGTGCATAGTGGGAAGGTGTGAAAAAGCAGAGTCACACATGAGTGACAGACAGCAGGACAAAATCCTAGAACAGCCCTCAGGGAGTAAACAAGTGGCATAAAGGGTTTTAACTGTAGAATAAGAGATGTTAATTTGAAAAAAAAATTTTTTTTTTAACTGTACATATGTTTTGTATACGGTACATACGTATATATTTAGGTTATTGGCAGTGACCTTGTGTTCCTATCTGTACATATGTTTTGTATACGGTACATATATATTTAGGTTATTGGCGGTGACCTCGTGTTCCTATCAAAAAAAAAAAAGGGAACTGCTGCAGTTGGTTCAAAAGAACCTGGGAGATGTGTGAAAATAGCACATAGCTACTAAAGCCAAATGACTACAAACAAAAGCAATCTGGATTTAATAGGCCCCCGTAAAGAGGACCATAACAAAACAGTTTCAAACCCACTCGAGCCTGTGGCGAAAAAAGTTAAGTCTGCTTCCTAAAATATTCCACATGAGCCGCACCTCTTTACCACATTGTTCCCAGTCTCGTCAGATCTACAACAGCTGACCCGAGTGGGTGTGTAACTTGGCTAGTCAGTGGTCTGCATCTGTTTGTCCTGAGCATGCACGCTGCTTCCTCTGAGATGACAGCCCATCACATTCGGGGAACAGCCACCACCTGTAGATTGTTTATTTATGCGACATCGCATTACTGCGTCCAGTGGAGGGTGACGTGCGTCGGTGACAGAAGGCAAAAATCGTCTCGGTCATTCCAAGTAAGGGCGTTTATAAGCTCCTGTTAGTCTTCCAGAAAAAAATTTAGTTGAATTGGGGACCACATAGCCAGTCATATTCTCTGTACTATACATGTGACCTCTAGGAAGTACAATGTATATCAGATAGACTATAACTGTAATGTGTGTGCATCTTGTATTGGGAGTTATCTGCTCTCTGGACACAGGCCATCTATCATGAAAATTCTGCTGGGCTCAGCTGCCTTTCTACCAGTTAAGGGCAGTTACAGTCTACTGCAAAAGGAAATGAAATGCAGCAGAAGTAAAGGTGAATTCACGGGGAGATTAGAAGTTCTTTCTAATCTGGATGCCAAATATCCCGTCAAACTGAGGAGAAGAAAAGGAAGTCATTCCTTAGTTTTGCTGCAAAACTGGAAAGTGTGTTGCATGTAAAGTTTCTTCAAACAAAAATAAACCCCACACTTTAGTGACCCCACCCTCTCGACGAAAAGCAAGTAGCAAACAGTCACAGTCGGGTCAAGTCGTCAATTACATCATAGGAAAAGGTTAAGGTGAAAAAGAACCGTTACCCGGTTGCGCAACCCAAGACAACGATTGTTTTGCTGTTGTGACTGACAGATTGCACACAATGGCGTTCTGCTGTTTCAGATATTCCCGCTGCATTGCCTCGGTCCAAAACTCATTACATTGGCAGTGAAATCAAAGGCAGGATGGGGTGGGGGTGTTGGCGGGAGGAGGAGGAGGAGAAGGAGGAGGAGAGGGAGGCGATGTTGTTTTTAGTCCATCGTCTTACAACACAGTCTCATACGGTGTGGTTCGGAGTGAAGAAGAACAGAACGGAACAAATCAACAGACTCGTTTTCAATAGCAAACGCGGTTTACGTTAGTTCGGCTCCAATACGGGGAATTTCTTTTTTTTATTGTCCTCAGACTCTTTCCTTAACCCAACTCAAACACAGTGTGCCGAGGAATGCAGGGTGGAGTGTTTGCTCAGATCATGTAAACAGATTGCGCGAGGACTTCAAAATTATGAATTCAAGTGAAAGGGAACTAAAACATAGATGGGGGGGGGGCATAATAAGCACACTAATTCGACTCGGCACCACACTGCTGCACAGTAGGCTTCACCTGCGCTGAACTATTCCCTGGGCATTCTGCTTCTGCCTGCCAAACTAACTTTGTGGTAATTAATACCCGTCAGGGCCCATAGTATTACTAAAGATGACAGCGGTGTGGCCTTTTTCCCGACAGAAACACAATGATCAAAGGGCTGAGTGCACTATGGCTTCCCGCTAATCAGATGTAGACTCTGCACGACTCTTGTTTTGCACTATAGAGGGAAAGGTAGTAAACAGTCTGACAAATACAGTATTTCACAAAGGCACCATCAAACGGGCTTCGCATCGGCACACTTACTGCAAGACAGATGAGGGCGTAATTAGTAACAGCACATGCAGATTATACATACGGGATTAAAAGGCTCTTCCACACAATGTAACTTAACTGTCATTAAAACGAATGACTGGATGGATGTAGAGGACTGCTGTATAAACACATGAAAATAAATCACCAGGGTTATCCCAAGGGCTTAGGCAATGCATATAGGCGTTAAACTGAGAAATAGAAAACACATACCTGGCAACTCAACCATCTGCTCGACACATGAGCGTCTACTAGGCTAACACCCAGCCAGGATAAAACAATATATATGCAGAGAGTTATGTGCATTCAATCTTATTTCACGCATCACATTCACCGCACTGTATTCTCACCAGGAGCTGCATGCGCCAATGTCAATAGCTCTCATATGTTTCTGGCCGGCTGGCAAAAGTGACATCAGGCTGCGACCCAATGGGGGATGCATAGCCAGGAAAACATCAGATGGCGTAAAAAAAAAACAAATGGCGTAAAAGCTTGTTTTCTTTATATCTTTGGCCTAGAAACAAAGATGCTGGAAAGGGAGATGGCTCAGGACAAAATGTAAACGATGCAAATGGGAAAGTAGATATAAAAAAAAGAATCCTCTGAGAAAATCTTTAGGAACATTAAAGTGGCTACGACACCAGGAAGTAGTTTGAGCACATTCACTCGACATACACGGTAGCAGCCACTGCTGAAAGTTTGACTGGAAAGAGTTATTTCCAGGCCGTGGAGGGCCCCTCAAGTTTTTTCGCTGACCACCCCTTTCCTCAGCTGCTGGAAGGAATTAATGAGCCCCTTCCCTGCTTTCTACCTTCCCCATCCCACCATTCTTCACATCCCTCAGGGCATCGAGCAAAGCACTGGTTTCACATGCCAGCCGAGTCTCAAGGATGTGCTAAAGACCTACCAAAAAACACACGTAGGCTACTACACTGACTAAAGAGTTCACCTGGTCTTTTCTGTGCAACTGCATGGTTGGCGGCTGCTGCTGCTGTGGACTTCCTTGCTCTTCAACTCGACAGATTCTTCGATCTACAAATAGTGCATACACTGTCTCGAGAAATGTCTCACTTGCTGACATTTAATAATAGCTCACGATACGCCTGCTCAGCTTTTAAAAGAGTTGGCAATAAGAGAGAGCAGATCACTCCTGGGCATTGTTAACAGTACTTCGACAAATACTTTATACAATACTTCCTACAAGAAATACCTCAGTGACATGACGCACTAGCGCTTAAACCAGCCTGGCATCAAATACTGTGGACTTAGAGTAATCCATAGATCCATCCTTAGATCCATAGACGGGGGTACTTTTGCGATATTTTTCCTATATTTTAATCATATTTACATGTATTTGTCCATACATCTATTATCTACAGTTTAATTAATCCATTGCAGGTACGCGGGTGGCGATTGGGCCAATCCCATCTGATACTGGGTGTAGGAGGAACCCTGGACAGTTTGGCTAATCCATCATAGCGCTACATATAGATAAAACATTAAGCATTCACACTTAAATTTACACATATGGTCAATTTAGAGAGTCTAAATCAACGTAAAGTTCCCTAATGAGCATGTTTTTGCGACTTAAATTTGCGCGACAGGCTGTAAATAGGGACACTTAGCCTGAGCAAAGGCAGCCCGGGGAACGCCGCAGGGGAAAAAAGAAGAAGACTGAGAAGAGAGAAAAGATGACAAGGCCAACATGTCCCCTGCCTCCTTCACCTTTATCCCATAACCTGTGTGAAAGACTTAGCAACAAAGGACCCTGCATTAAACAAGGGCACCCACCCCCGTACAGGACTTGAATTGACTATGCAGGCACATGACAAGATGCCGCAAAGGGTGTCTGTACATATCGCCAATAGCAAAAACCAATACTGATCACCTTGGCATGACGTCCTCAAGGTGATTGATTGCTGGCTTAGACCTGTCAGCACCGCCTACATCCAGGGGACACGGGCTGTTTTTAAATACTATCTTACTAATGGAAAATCCTTAGACTGACTTACAGGATTAGATCAATATACACAATACTGTTGTATCAGCTTACACAACTAATGTAAAAGTGCTTTCAAATATGCCCCTTAAAAACACTCCAAAGAAGGAAGTGGAGCTGCTGAGGTATGCTGCGGACCAGTAATACCGTGCAATTGTTGAAGGATCATTACATTTTTCAAAATAAAACATCTTTTAGACTTTATTCTGTTAGTATCTCAGTCTGAATGACAGGTTGAAACATTGCCAGATTATCTTTTTTATGATAAAAGTAAAGGGATATGACAGGATTCTTTTTGAATAGTACATTCAGTAAAAACTGAAGTACATTTTTTAACTGTTTCCCACCACGGCCAAAATGACCTTACAGATCAGCACCAGTCCCCGGACGGGATTGATGACCGCTGCTGTAAGGTACCATAGCTATGGTCAAGCAGGTATATATCTGTAGAGTGTAGTTTCATGTTTTCCCTGTGAGAGTACTGGTTTACTTTGAGTGCTTTAACAGCAAAACACATGAAGATTAGGAATAAGGAGGGAATGGGCACGAATGTGAATGAAGACGCAAACAGCCTCCGATGGCCTAACCCACATTCCAGTTTCCTTCACCACCCTTAACTGGACAAAGTAGTGTAAGATTTAGCAATAAATAGCAAGAGCCCTATATACATTTTTTCTAATTTTGCAGAGCACTGCAAGGTGGGCCAGGCATGTAAATTACATGGACACTACGCCAGCGAATCAGACATCATCTTAAAGTGACTCAGGTCCAATATTTAACTTTTGTCATTCAAAACTGTCTCAAAAACATTTTTTTTTGGTTTGATTCCTTTATGACTGAAATTATTACCCATTAAATTACTATTAAACAGAACCAGGCCATAACAAACCTTGAAGGTTAACATTGACAGTAGCCACACATAAACCTAAGTACACGGCATTAAAAACATGACAGACAAAGTACGGCTGATTTCAGTGTGTGTCTAAGCAAGGTTTTTAAAGCACACCGGGGGGGCGGGTGGGGGCTGGGGGGGTGAGAGAAAAGAGCCGTAGCAGACGGCAGCAGCCATCATCTCCAGCATCTCCATCATCATTATTATGCACGCATGCTGCAGGTGTGACAAAGTGACAGCATGCAAACATCCCAGCGAGCTCAATCCACATTCAAGCCCATCTGCCTACAGTTTGGTCGCAACTCCTTTTCGCGTTACCATTTGCCGCTCGGAGCGAGTGAGCGACTGTTGTCGTCATGTCGTTATGAAAACACTGACAGACACTGGCATGACAACACGTTCATCCCGCTTCTGCAGCCTCCTGTCACGGTATCCCGGCTGAGCAGCGACGCTCTCGCTCTACAGATGCAGCGGGACAGTTGAAGTCCATTTAAAAAAAACAGCAGTCTTATTTACGGATTTGCCACAATAACCTTTAACCGCACGACACAATTTGATGAAACGTCAGAATATAACCTGAGGACGACACATCTTTAGTTTAACCGGGCATGCACATGACCTACTATCAAGAAACTGCACTGAAATGGCAGCTGTTTAAGAAGTCAGACTGGTAAATGAAAGACAGGGCACCGACGATGGAATAACACTGGAAAATGTGGCGGAGTCATTCTACAAGTTGACTATTTATAAGTAACAGATGTTTTAAAGTAACACTGGACGACTGCCGAATGGAAGCCATGAGGGTCCCCTTTCGTCTTGCCCCATAATTGGTTTCTTCCTAAATACAAATATTTCCCGTTCACGCATAAACACGTAAACATGGGCAATTTGGCCAGACTTTGGTCTGTGTCAAATATAGGTGAAGACAGCACCGGGGCTAACACTAGCCTGGTTAGCTTCATCAGCAATCTTTAACCTTCAACTGACAGGAGCGCTGCAACCGCCGCCGCACACGCGTCAACTTGAAAGACAAGACGGGTAAAATTCATTTAAAAAAAAAAAAAAAAAAAAAACACCCAGTCGTCATCCCACCATTTCACCTTTTATTGTGGTGTCCCGAAAGTGGCCCGCTTTTCTCCTAAATCCTCTATACCGGGCGCAGGGGGCTGACAGGAGAGCGTCGCTGAGGCGGCGGCTGCTGCTGCTAAGTTGAAGGAGCGTTGGAAAATGTTGAGCGCAGAGCAGATGCGACTCCCCTGCTCTGTCTGCTGATCACAGCAGCAGCAGCAGCAGCTCGCCCACTCATGTGTCTGCATGTGTCGTCACACCAAAACATAAACACAAACAACCAAAACACAACTCACACAGGTAAACACCGGCGAATGGCTTGCGGTGCTGGAGACACATTTCTTACCTTTGAATGCGCCGTTCCGTTGCTGCCTTAGTCCTCAGCGGTCATCCCAGCTGCTGCTCTGGACGGACTGAGCTGGAATCTGCTGAAGGGAACAGCCCCTCTGTACTGGAGCAGCAGCAGCAGCTTCTCTCCAGCAGGGAGCCTGCTGCAGACTGCTCAGCAGTGATCAGGTCACAACTAATCAAAGTTTAATATAGTAATTATATACGTACGGTTATTTTACAGGTACTGCACTTTCTTTCTTTCTTTCTTTCTTTCGATCTATCTATCTATCTATCTATCTATCTATCTATCTATCTATCTATCTATCTATCTTCTTCCTTCCTTCCTTTTATCCTTCACTCCCCCTTCCATTCTTTCTTCCTTTCTTCCCTTTCTTTCTTTCTTCCTTCCTTTCTTTCTTTTTTCTTTCTTTCTTTCTTTCTTTCTTTCTTTCTTTCTTTCTTTCTTTCTTTCTTTCTTTCTTTCTTTCTTTCTTTCTTTCTTTCTTTCTTTCTTTCTTTCTTTCTTTCTTTCTTTCTTTCTTTCTTTCTTTCTTTCTTTCTTTCTTTCTTTCTTTCTTTCTTTCTTTCTTTCTTTCTTTCTTTCTTTCTTTCTTTCTTTCTTTCTTTCTTTCTTTCTTTCTTTCTTTCTTTCTTTCTTTCTTTCTTTCTTTCTTTCTTTCTTTCTTTCTTTCTTTCTTTTGATCTATCTGTCTATCTGTCTATCTGTCTATCT